ACGGCACTTATCATGGCTGCCTCTGAGGTACTTCCGGGTCATTTCACTCCGTTAGGAAGGTTCCTAAGCTAAATGGACTATTCGACTGCAGCCCTATTATGTTATTTTTAAGTACCTTAATGCTTAATGATTGAAGTAAATAAATAGAAAATAAATGAATAAACAACCAAAATTAACTCCACAATACTGTTTGTGCTCTGTTTTGATTTGCTAACACAAAACCTCTGCTTGAGTTAAAAAAAATCAAAATACATCTGAACCCAATTTTTCATTGCATCAAACTGCTCAACGTCTGACAAAAAGTGCTTTAAAACTTTGCCTTTCAAGAGATCAAGGTGAAAAAAAAGAGTTACACAGGAAAAATGAAAAAGTGGAAATGTAACAAAAAACACAGATGCAGCTATAAAAGTGAAATGCATCTACAAGTGTAGCTATACCAGCTATACCAGTATTTGAACCACGGTATTTGAACAATATCTACCAGTAAAAATTCTCCCAGGTGTCCCAGTTTTGGATCCCATGTATTTATTTATACATCTCCTTTGTAGAGGCAATGAAAGGAAAGAAAACCCTCCAATATGTTTGCACATCCAGTGCAATGTGGTCACTGTTTGTCTGCTCTTTCACGAAGGATTCTAACTCAAACAGCCATGCCCTAGTTCTCTCAGCAGTAAATCTGCCAAATAGCTTGCAGGTAACACATTGAGGAGCAGATGCATGGATTGACAGATAATGAAGCAGAGATCCTGACCTCCAGCCCAGATGGCCCTGACTGAACCGTCCATCTCTCAGCAGCCGCTTCCTCTCTGCACCCAGTCCTGACCACGAAACTTCAGATAGCCCCCATCAAACACACACACGCACACACGCACACACACACACACACACACACACACACACACACACACACACACACACACACACACACACACACACACTCACCAGTTTCAAATCATTTTCTGTTACATTAGGGATGTTCTCTTTAATGCTGCTTAGCACACTGTGCTTCACCTCGACCGTCCCGGTGCAAAACACCTCGAGCTGAATTTAGCAACAGATTGACAAAGAATGTCCGGGATGGTTGATATAAAAGTATGTATTAAAGCAGTGGGACAGCAGCATCAACACTGTCCTTCTGGGCATTCTGTTCTTCGGAGCTGTACTGTATGGAAACAAGATCATTGATGATTGGATGGACATTTGTTGGGTGTTTACTGTTTGTGACAAGATGTATCTGTTGACCAACTCATCTGAAGAAATGCAGTGTGTTTCCTTTGTTAATATTTCATGTTAAGGCTCTGTGAAAAGAGCTGCTTTCCACCTTCTCCTCAAATTAAACTTTAGCTACTTGGTATTGCTGATTTTAAACAGTATAATGTCATGTAAGATTGTGTTGTATTCCGTCCATATTGTAATGTTCCTTGAAGCAAACTCTATGTGATACTTGGCTTCAATATGTATATTAAGGTGTTGTTTGTTTCTAATTCTGGAACTTCATCCTGTTACAGAGACCTTAGCTTATCTCCTCCTGTTTTTTAAAGAGCTATAAAAGCTTATTTTTTTACTTGACCTGATCCCACTTGGTGATTCTTTATTTCTAAACTCCCAGGTCACCAGGTTGCTCGAGGTCGGTATTGAATCTGTCCCTCTTAATGGTTGGAAGGAAAATGATCATCTAAAGTTAGGGACCGTCCTAAAAGTGCAAGCAAAAGGCCCAAGAAACATTATTAATCTTCTAATGCCTTTTTTCTTCTTCTTCCAATTAACATATTCCATAATCTGTGTTCCATCTTTATCTCCACTGGCTAAATGCGTGACTTCCTTTTTGTTTGCAACATCTTATTGCACACTGAGTTATAACATCCCTTTTGTCCTGTCCTTTATTTACCATTAACATAATTTACACTGACACTAAAATTAACATCACTTGTATTACTAATACAGTCTTCTAAGTGTCCTTTTCAACTATTTGGGGAAAGGGAAATTCAGTCGGATTTGTCTTTTTCATTTTATCAATACAACTTTTGCAGACATTCCTCCCCAGCTTAAGCAGGTCCTTCAGTCTATCTAACTATTAAAGTGGGATTAGTATATGTTTCCAGACCAGAGACTTAAGTGGAATTTCAAAAGCTTCCAATTTAGACGACACAGGTGACAGTGACAAAGCAGAACCAAGGAAAAAGATGCTGAGGGGTGACAGCTGGAGCCTGAGGCAGAGAAAAACCCAGAAACGTAATAAACGCAGAACAGAGAGAAATTCGAATTACTTTTAGTGTACATACGTTTAGATTGAGAAATATATTTTTAAAAGCACATTATAAATCTCAGAGAATAATAATTCTGACATTCAACATAAAATATCTTTTATTTCTATTTATATTCTATATTATCATCACAATATTCAGCTGAACCACTTTTCCTCTCTTTATTTTACTTTTTGTTTTGCCTCTATAGATTCAATTCTATATAAAAATGCACTTACTGTATACATTACTAGATCGTAAATCTATTTGATGGCCAATTAGGGTGTGATAATCACACTTACAAACCTAATTGAAATCATGATTTTCATTTCAACAGCGGTGGTGCTGGGTCTCCTTTGCTCTGTGAGCGCCATCTGCTGTTCACAGCTGATGTGAAAAACACAAGCAGAGCTCAGCATTCAGGTAAAGGCTTTAATGGTTCACAGAGAAGAGTGGACACACTGTCATTGAGTTAGCACAACAGAGACATATTCACATCACAAACATTCAACTATAGCCAAAAGTAATGAAAACGTAAAATAACAAGTGATCAAAATGAATTTAGTCAATGAATCAAAGTACTGTAAGTCAATATTAATTTAGTTTAAAATAACACAGACTCCACACAGTGTTTGCATCTGCATTACAAATAACTGAAAGAAGAGATGCAAACATTAAGTCAACATTTTGCTTGACCTCAACCTTTTCTACTTTTTGTTTATAGACTCCCAATGTTAATCACTCCAACAAATCCCATCTTTAAGCTCAGCCTTAATACTGGTTCTATGATGCCAAATCAGGCCTGGTGCGTATCTCAACCTTGTTTGTTGTGTGTCAACTACACACCTATAAAGTTTTGTGACTGCATCTTGCAAGTTTTTGTCACCTGCCATCGCATTGACAGAATCATTTTTACAAATAGAGACAGACAGATAGACAACGGACAGATAAATAGTCACAGACAGAAGTATAAACACCTGGAGAGTACTTTTAGTTCCCGCCACAGTAGGTCTCTCTGGGGGCTCATTTTGCCCCTGTGATACACACAAAAACTCAGAAGGTGAAAACAGTACCAGCTTTGTTGTTGCGGTTAGTAAAAACAGGACACACACAGACGGAAGACAGTACAGCAGACACAGTATAGAGCAACAGTTTGAGTGTTCAGGACACATCAATATGTCACTGCACTCCATACTTTACACACATGTTAGCAACACAGATCAACGGCAACAAGTGGGGGTAAATCAAACATTTAGTGCAATAAAATCCAAATAAATCCAAAGAAGAAAAATATTATACAATAAGAGCCGTACGACCCTGTGACACAGATTTTAGGTTAGGCACATCTTTTTAATCCAAAATATGAATGAGTCAAGGAAGCTGTGCAGTGGTTTTTCAATACATTTCCAATAATTGTAGATTAAATCCAAAAGTCCAGCTTTTTTTCTCTTGAAGAACAGAATATTCATTTGAGGCACATTAAGCACAAAGTATTTCGTTATTTAAGACAGCGTTAGTGTTGCTGTTACAGGATTCATCTTTAACGTCCTGGAGGATTTCATTCTTCATCCAGCAGTCTTCACTTTGAATACTTCAGGGCCAGCTAAACAAACAAACAAACAAACAGACAAACAAACAGAAAAGCATGTTAAAGCCTGAACATTTTCATCTTTATACCGTAGCTGATCAATGATTTCTCTTGTTGGAAATATGTTGTAGAAACAGCTGTATTTGCACGTCACCTTGTGCGCAGTGTCTGCAAACTGCTGGGCTTTGTGCATCAGCTCCACAGTCTTGTCCTCGGCGTGACTCAGTTTGTCTCCACGCTCCCCCAGAGCCACATTCATCCTGTGGACTACATTACCCAGAGTGCTCCCTGTGACACGCTGCCCTGGCTGACCTGTTCATACACACAGAAGAAGAAAAAAGTATGTAAAGGTACTCAATGAAGAAGTCAAAGTATTACACATCCACTCTGAGGCCAGATAACCTTCTGTCCTTAGAAGCAACACAAACGTCTTTGTGATCGTCATCTGTAAGCTAGTTTTAAAATAATTCGATTTTTTTAGGGCTTTCTGTCCAGTGGCGACTGGTCATTAGGGGCAGGTGGGGCACAGTAATGATTACAACAAAATGCAACAAAAAAAATATATATATACAAAATATATTTTAAGATCATGTTTAATCATCTGATTTGTCTTTACATTGAGGTGTTTTAGTCTGTGTCCTTCTAATTAGTGTCTACAGTGTGTGCCTATAGAGTGGCGAAATATATATAAACATATCCGATTTTCTTCACTGTTAAAGAAAAAAGGGGGACAATTCTGGTTCAATGTAATTCGAACATTTTAACTGTTGGATACAAACAGAAGGACGATAGCTCATATATGAGACTTCAAAGGTCTCTTTTATTTTGAAACTGTACATCAGATTGTCCTGATTCTCTCTGAGTGATTAGATGGGGTGTCCTGCTATCACCCTGAAGTGAAATAAGTATTTGATAGTGGATATTTTTTGTTTTATTCTTATCTAAAAACAGAGGGATGATAGCTCATATATGAGACTTTAAAGCTCTTTTATTTTGAAACTCTACATCAGATTGTCCTGATTCTCTCTGATTGACTAGATGGGGTCTCCTATCACCCTGGAGTGAAATAATTCTTTGATAATTTGACAGTTTTTTATTTATTCTTGTATAAAAACAGAAGGACGATAGCCCATATATGAGATTTCAAAAGTATTTTATTTTGAAATTCTACATCAGATTGTCCTGATTTTCTCTGATTGACTAGATGGGGTCTCCTATCACCCTGAAGTGAAATAAGTATTTGATTGACTTCGAATGACTCGTTGATTATGGACAGTTTCCATTAAATAATAATCAAAATATAGATGGACAATAGATCTAATTTGAGATTTTAAACAGCATACATTTTAAATTGTTTTTCAGAAAGTAATGTTATTTTAGGAGTGTTGTGAGATGGTGTCAACATTAATTGAAATTGGTCACCCAGTGGAAATGCCAGATATGTCTTCATAACTGTATACTTACATTTTACATTCACTCAGTTATAATGTGGTAGTTATAATGTGGTAGTTATAGAGTGGCGAAGTCCCTCCCCTTCCGGTGGACCTCCATGGGACCTTATATCGGAAAAATAATGTATTGAAGTCAATGGGGAGAGAAAGATTATCTTTCGATCCCGTTTGAATTGTGCCATGAATTACACATATGATGTTTGTCAACTTAAAAGATAATTTTGCAAGTCAAAAAAATTAAAATGTGTCGTAAAACTGTGAAGTTACACATTTTTCTGTGTGAAGCGCTCAATAAACTACAACTCTGGTCTTGCACACGTCACCAACACCAAGATGGCCGTCACGTTGGTACCTTTCACCTCTTTCTTTCAGAATGAGGCGAAAAGTATTAAAAGAGGTGAAAATCACTACAAGTCTGGGCATGTTGAGAGCTGTACATACGAAAAAGGGGAGTTAGTCAGTTCCGTAAGAGCCAGCATGCGGGACCGGCTTTACAAGGTTTCGGTGAGTAACACGAGTGTAATGTGTAACATTAGCTAACAAGGTACACTGTCGTGTTTTGTTTTAGTTGGTCTTCGAGAACGAGCAAGAGGTACTATTACTGGTATGATAACAACCTGGTACAAAGCACACAGGCATCTTGTTAAAGTAAGTAAGTACATTAAGTAAATGTATTTTTAGCTATCTGGAGGGAATACATCAGTTATGACAGCACTTACGCGACTCTGGGATTTGTAGTCTTTCTAGTTGCGTATTTTTCATAGTCTTATATTTCAACAGTTTTAAGACAAACTTTGAATTTTTTGACATGGAAATGATTTTTTAAGATTGACAAACAACTATGTGTAATTCATGGTACAATTCAAACGGGATCAAAAGATAAGTTTTCTCTCTCCATTGACTTCAATGTATTATTTTTTCGGAATAAGGTCCCATGATGCGGAAGTAAGTGGGCGTGACT